GTGGGACAGCAGAGATGCTTCTCAGCACTGGATTCAAAAAGACTAGACTTCCAGGCAAGTTTTGGTTCTGGGAAAACATAATTTGATAAATGAACCACTAGTACGCATAATACTACCGCCTCTGCATATCAAACTGAAGCTAATTAAACAATTTGTTGAAGTTCTGAATGAGGGTTGTGATTATTTTAAATACATCTCTGAAAAGTTTCACAATACTAGTACCTACTGAAAGCCGGAATTTGTGATTGTCCACAAATAAGATGGCCCAACTTCAGTAAATTCGCACTCCACATCCCAAACAGCCGAGTGAACAGATGAACCACCCATAAAGTTTTCTTTCTTGGAGTTACCGATACAATACCTAAAGAGACATATGGCATATACGAATTACTATATTCCACCCGCTCCAGAATTAACATCGGCCAGACCAACAGAAGAGCATCCAAGAGAGTTTATTAACATGAGCTTGCTGTCCGTAAATCAGATCAGGCCTCATCCCTCTTTAAACATCATCTTGGAACAATACCCCCTTTAAGGGGCTTTATCTTAAGAAGGGATGCTACGATGAAGTTTCTTTATATGAAAGATCCTATCTTTTTTTCGATGATGAATCACCTCTTTGAATGTTTTACACTTATTCAGTTACATCCTGTATTGTATCCATTCGATCCAATTCCTCTTGTAGGTGTTCCATTTCACATATTCTACGGGCACGTTCCAGAAGGGTGTTGATAATTTCCGCTTTTGACTTGGATGGTGGTTCAAAAGGGCATGCAGATATCTGTCCGTATGTGTCGGTTTTCAGTACACTTTATGTGTCACTTGTGGGCCACGCTTTTCGACGAGTATATCTAGAAAAGCTATCCGTTGTTCCTGTTCAGTCTCCATGGTGAACTTGATGCTGGGGTGTTGAGCATTTATGTGGTCTAGAAGTAGGTTCAGTCTGTCCCTCCCATGCCTCCAGATGACGAAGGTGTCATTCACGTATCGTAACCAAATGGTTGGTTTGAAATGGAAAGCGTCGATTACCTTCTTCTCAAATTGCTCCATGGAGAAGCCGGTTATCACCGGAGCTGTGGGGATATATCGTATAACATGCACCTGCCGAAAAGTTTATATGGGTACCACCAAAAGATACATGTGTACACAGCTGAATAAACATCGGAGAAACACGATACTGTTTGAAGATGTGAAACTACTTGCTCCCAATCATGGATACCACAGTCAGCTTGTACTGGAAGCCATAGAAATCCATATACATAAGGAAAACAACAACCGAAAAGAGGAGGTGGTAACGCTTAACCGGATTTGGTATCCCATACTGAAAGATGCTAAAGCGGCAACAGCGCAATGCAATGTTACGTCACTAACAGGTAATGACACTTCAGCCAATAGCAACGCATCTTCAGATGATGTGGTGCTGCAGATTTTTCCGGGTTTTCCTGCAGCTGAAAAAGCAAATGCGCCACTGGAATCAATGAAGTCGCCCCGGAGCGCCAATTGATTTTTATTGTTGTTTTTATTTTATTTTTGAAATAAATGTATCTATCTATCTAAAAGAAACGCGAACTACCTGAGACAACACAAATACAACCTACGAACTAGAAATCACCAGTCATCGGTGATTCATGAAGTTGAATAAAGCTCTAAAGAAGCCAACCCCTCGTGCTGGCGAAACGTTAGGATGCAGTTCCAAACTATACGACGGCGTTCAAACCCGAATGGAGATTCAAATTTTTTATTGAATATCCACTATTGATTTTATGATTTATTTATTTGTCATTTCGAACGAGTGTCAAAAATAAATAGTGAATAACGTGTACGTGACAGATAACTCAAAAGTGTTCATAAACTTTAAATGGTTCAGAACTACTTCCATAATCCGAACACTCGAAACGGTTGAATATACAATGATATTCAATCATTGTGTCATGAAATAATTATAAACAGAAACCAAGCATACTCATCCGAGATAATCAAATTTCTACCAGATGTCGAATCACTTTATTACTACCTTCTTCAATTGAAATTTGCATTTGAGTGGTATTATATATACTCATTACATTTGAATAATCATAGTATCATCAAAATATCTTTGTTTCTGTCATATAACGTGCAACGGTTTTCATTTGAATTAGGGAAAGAGAGTTACAAATTTCGGTAAAGAATGGAAAAAAATCAGTCTATTTGCCAGTGACCTGCTTCCTACATTCAACTTTCAGAAGTCTTCGAGAAATTGGTCAAAATAGGGAAACGAGAGAGTCTTGCCTTAACGTACACGATCACGATTACCCATCTGAAACATCGTCCGTCCTTACAAAATAATAATATTATTGATAAATGGGTTCCATTAATCGATAAAACTAATTACAGGATTGAAAAAATAAGTGTGATAACAAAAGGTGAAGTTACACTGTTCCATCTCCTCAAGCAAGTGATGTAAGTAGATTACCGTCTATTGTCTCGTCTCTTCTCTTGTCTCGTCTTGTCTCGAACAAGACAGCAATTGTTGCTCGTCCTCGCAGTCAACGCACTGATTATGTCTGCCGAAGTAGCAGAAGAGGTACTTCACCTACTAGAAACTCGCAATTAATTTGATAGGAAATTCTATTTCATTCAGGATGTTCCACAAAGTAGAAGATAGACCCAATAAATGATAAGTCGAAACTCGTTCAGTTTTTGGAATATCACCAAAAAATTTAAGCGATATACGAGTGGTTGGCTTCAAAATATCCATATGAGTCAGTAAGTTTCCATTGAAAAATGAAGTTTTGGTTACAAAATAGTTCGGAAAATTTTAAATTTTGCTCACGGCCTTTTCATATCTGTTATTCTCAATTTAATTGAAGGATGGATACTACTGAAAATTGTTTTTGGCATTTGTATGGGTCTATTTTCTAACACTGATTCAGTTAACTCAAATTCGCCAATTTTCATTTCAGAAACGGCTGATTGAATACTCTGAACATAACCTCGTTATCACCCAGAATAATTTCATACGAATATAGAGGGTCTTTCATTAAGCGCTTCCAATCTTTGAAGTCAAATAAAACAAGTGTGTGTGAGATATCATTGACATTTTTTATTCAACTGAAAGATCTATTGATATTATTATGTGTGGAATTTAATATCGCCATGGCGTTTCTGTGTGTGGCGCATATGAAACGTCCAATTTTCCGTGATTCTGATCTGATCTGATCTGATCATGACATTAACCAACTGGCAATTTGGCTTTCAAAAGGCAAAAGGCACAAATGATGCAATTTTTTCCTTTCTTGAACATGTCTACACACATCTCAACAATGGCGAGGTCGCAGCTACAGTATTCTGCGATTTCTCCAAAGCGTTTGACTGTGTAAATCATGAACTTCTTTTGCAAAAGTTGAACTACTNAACTCTTAAAATTCGAATAGCATGGCCGGTGATAACCTTCTTTAAAAGACACTTCTGATGGAAAAATCACATCACAGTACTTTAAATTATATTTTTGATGGATTTCTAACGTAGTTCGACATTTATTTAAAGTAGTATCCGTAAATGGATGAACTTTTCCAGTATCTTTCATTTTACATATCATGCACGACACAAATTTATTTTTTTCACTCGACATTTTGTTCAGAAACTTACTAAAAAAACTGTAAAACACGTGCTCACTATAACAACGGTCAACTGAAAACACACGATGCTTCTAAAGATCATGTGATTAACAACCAATGAGAGCGTAGAAGGGGAGCGTAGCTACTATGGTGATCGGTGCTCTCACTCACGCCGCCAACTACGCGTAACCTATCTCTTTCTATTTGAAATACAATTTATTTTCATGTTTGCCGGAAATTAACCCCAACAAAACTGTCTGGCTTCTTGTAATTAACTTTCTAAATATTTGATTAAGTAGCTGTTAAAATTTCATAATGAATCAAACATTTCATTTATCAAAACAAGAGATTGGCAAATTTGAATCAACGTGGAGGATTTTTCAGTTTAAATTAATATACACTTGCAGAGCTCGGCAAATGTAATAATGCATGTGTGAAAAATTACGGAGCATTGGTATAATTTTCGCAAAATGAGGGCAAAATTAAGAGGTGCCGTCAAAGTTTACCACTTTCTCTTCGGTACTACTGATACAACGCGGTACTTACTGATATAGCGAAGTTTTATCTAATTATAATACTTACCCATGAAAATATCTTTCAACTGTGCAAGTCTCCAGTCTTGTAAAATCTGTTCCATTATGGTAGATACAAAATAATTGGAAAGAAATTGCACTGCCTACAGACACATAAAACACTTCCTCCTCAAAATTGCAACACTCCAACATCACTTTCCAACACATACTGGCGCGTACGCGATACTTACAACGGAATTCCCCGCTCCCCTCCCACTTGAGAGGGTTTCAGAAAGACTAGAGCACCACAGTTATTTTCAAATTGAAATTCCTGTCATTTCAGTAGATCATAATATAGTTTTGTATGTAGATTCACAAAACTCTTGGTATGAACGAATTGAGTTATTTGAAGGGATACAGTATTAAATTCAAACAAACACTATGTGTTCAGATCAAGTTGATATTTCTCTCCATTTGAAACAGTTTATTTTTCCTTTCAAATAGGTGGTGGATTTTGAGATGATATTATATTTTCTTGATTCAAAATAGTTCATTTTTGCAATGATATAATCAAACGAATGATGTCGTTGAAAGGCCAAGAAATTTGATTTATTTGCTGAAAAAAGTGTGATTTTCTGGTGGAACATGGCGATGTTAGCATAAAGTAATAGTTTTTCCAATAGAGATAAAAATTTCAAAGCAACCTATGATCTTCTTCAAAAGAAATAATTTTTACTGTGCAGAAAATAGATATTGGAATATCTATTTTGTGTCTTTCTTCATTTCTTTTTTTTTAAATCATCGTTATTTATATAAAATATAACTGTAAAATGCCCTTTCCTATGTTTTACTAATTATGACCTAGTGACAACTAATCAATCTTACTACTCACCCTATGTGGAGACTTGAGCAGCCGGTGAATAGCAGCTAACTGATCGATGAGAGGCAACGTGGTGCTGAACGTGTGAATTGGAGGTCTTGCTGGATCCGGAAAGGTGGTAGTGTAAGTGAATGGATCGATGTCATTCAGATATTGTACACGGCATGTCAAAGTCATTTTATTTTTATTCAAACACGCAACACAATTAGTGGTGGAATGGGCACACAATCTTAGTCCATCTCGTTGTAACATTTTTCACCGGTAGTGACGATATTTTATTCTTGTTACATCTTTAGTTGGTTCTATGAAGCTCCAAAAAATAAGTGTAGTAATAGAACAGTAAATATTAAAACTGAAATGTATTTCTGACGATTACTAACTGTACTTGGGATTGAATACTCATGGTATGAGATTTATAATACGATTAGTTTTGATGACATATACGGAACTAGCTAGCCGACCTGGTTCTGCATAGGTGCAATGCTGATACTAAATATAAATTCGCCCACCGGAAATTTAAAGGCATGAAGAAACAGTGACGAAAAGATAATTTTGTTTCATGGACGGGCCTTTTTCCCCCGCAGCTGGCGCCAAAGTTGGGATATTCAAAAATCCTTTCGTATTGCACATTTACAATATAAAACGAACTCACATACAGAATTTCAGCCTACAAAAATATAGCGGTACGGAGAAACAATGATGAAAAGGTAATTTCATTTTATGAACGCCCCTTATGTCCCACGGCTGGCGTCCCAGTTGAAATAATCAAATATCATTTCTTATTGCACATCTACAACATAAATTGAACCTACATACAAAATGTCAGCCTCTTACAAAATAGCGGTACAGAGAAACAGTGATGAAAAGGTAATTATCATATGTAAACGTTCCCCTTTTACCCCCACGGGGGCGCCCCAGTTGGAATATTTGAAATTCCTTTCTTAGTGCGCATCTAAGACCTAAGAAACACCTATATACCAAATTTCACCTTCCTATGACTTATCAGTACAGAGAAACAGAGATGAATGGGTGAGTGTTAAGTGTGTTTCGCATTTGTAAGTGAAGGGTGTTTCAAATTCGATCCTCACCATTGGGATCTCGGAAACTATGAAAGATATGAAGATGGTTATTTTGGGGCAAAGTTGCGCATTTACCTGACTAACAATATAACGTTGAGAAAGTTCTGAAATTCCGAGTATTTCCGGAAAATGGTTTTTATTTTTTTCTGGCTTCATTTTTCGAATGATTCGAAAACAAATTGCACTTCTACATTGCCACTTTTTCCCTGCTACATAATGATGTTTTCATATTGGCTCTCCGGCGTTTCGTCTTCTGGCCACCATCATCAACTTTATTTTTTCTTGTGGGCGATACATTGGATTCTTTCTGTTTTGAATAAAACCAGATTTTACCTTTTCAATAATATATCATAAGTTTTCATTCTTTCTCTAAAAATTGGAGATATTGAAAAATAGGATTTGACTTTTCCGTTTCTGAATTTGACTTTCAATTTGTTACACTCAATTACATTTTGTTATTATACGTATCATTGAATTTTTGGCGAAAAATGGCTTTCACGAATGAAGAAAAAAAAATATAATACAAATTTATTACAAATACGATAGAAACAATGTTAGGACATCGGAAATGTATTTAAACTTGTATCCGAAAAAACCATATGAAACTATGTTTAAGTTATTGGATCAAAATCTCACCGAGTTTGGTTCATTTGAAAAGCTGAGGAAAAAATACGGAGAAATAATGGACCAGGAAGCTAGAGAAAATTTGATAAATGAGGTGTGTATGAGGTAAGTTAGACATTGTATCATTTTCAATAAAAATTAATAATTTGCAGATAAACATAAACCCGGGGAAGTCTACACGTCAAATTTCTTCCGAAATGAATATTTGTCATACAAGTGCTTGAAGACATCTCAAAAAAAGCGGATTGAAATGTAATTAAATACACCTATCTCAAATATTGTATCCAGGTGATCCCGAAAGGCGATTAAAACTTTGTATTTGGCTAATAAGAAGACCTGATTTTCCTGTTTTCTTGGAAAATGTAACCAGTTTTTAATGTCGATTTTCGACATTAAAAACTGATTACATTTTGGATAACTATAACAACATCTGGTTTCAACATGATGGTGCTCCATCGCACACTACCAGACGAGTATCTAATTACCTGACTGAGATGTTTGGTGATGAATGGATAGGGAATAATGGGCCGGTGAGGTAGCCAGCAAGATCTCCAGACTCCGAAGAAGGGCACAGTTGTGTTATCATGAACAAGGCAGCATTTTGCGCATTTGCTGTGATTTACTTTTGTCTTTACATTTTAGTTCATTATTGTTATTTGTCAAAAGTTATATTTTTATTGAACAAGACACAATGTCCAATTTACCTCATACACATCTCATTTATCAAATTTTGATTGTTAATTTTGTCTCCGTATTTTTTCCTCGGCTTTTCAAATGAACCAAACTCGGTGACATTTTGATGCGATACTTGAACATAGTTCGATGTGGTTGTCGTCTTTCGGGATACAAGTTTAAATACATTTCCGCTGTCCTAACACTGTTTCTATCGTATTTATAATAAATTTGTATCATATCTTTTGTCTTGTATGACTTGTACAATAACAAAATGTCATTGAATGTATTTCGAAAAAAAATGATATTTTATGATACATTATTGAAAAGGTAAAATCTGGTTCTATTCAAAACAGAAAGAATCCAATATAGCGCCCATAAGGAAAAATAAAGGTGATGATGGTGGCTGGAAAACGAAACGTCAGATAGCAAATCTAAACAGCAATATGTAGCAGAAAAAAGTGGCAGTTTGGAAGTGCAATTTATTTTCCAATAATTTGAAAAATAAAGCCAGAAAAAAACTACTTTCCGAAATTTCTTTTTTTTCCGGATATCTCCGGATATACTCGGAATTTCAGAACTTTCTCAACGGCATATTGTTAGTCAGGTAAATGCGCAACCATCTTCGTATCTTTCATAGTTTCCGAGATCCCAATGGTGAGGTTCGAATTTGAAACACTCTGTATAGAAAGATGGGAGGACTATTGCAGATAACTCAGTTATTTCACTTCAATAGGAGTTTATTAATTGAATGACTAATAAAGTTATTAAAAAATGCTCGCTATACCAAAAATGAATGCAATGGGGAAATGTGAACAAGAGTATATCGAAGGCCAAATGATCAGAACAACTAGTTTCAATAATCACTTCCAACAGTTCGACAATGGAATATTGTGAAATGATCAATGTATCTATTCCACCTTGAAGTTTTTTAAAATTTATGATATCATTTTGGTATCTCATAACGAAGTAGAAGAAAAAAAGGCTCATCAATTTTTTTGCTGTTGCGAATCATCGATTGGAATTTGAATACACCGCCTTCAAGGTGGTTGATTAGCCTGAAGCAAGCTAACTTTTTTTCGGAATTTCATTTCTCAATTCTGCAATCAAATTGGAAAACAGTTTTATTTGTGTTTTTAATAAATGGATGTGGAGTCTTTAAATGAAGTTTGAACTTATATTTGCCTTTTTTTCCAAATTATGTGTGGAATAAGCATTTTCTCATGACTTATCAATAAATTTATGTCACACACTTGTGACTGTCACAGATGTCACTGATCTATGATAAGGTTAATCATAATGTTGAAATCACAATGTTTTTTGTTTCTAATATTTTGCGAACTCAGTATTGATGACCTTTTCAATGACCTTCATTTCATTTGACGAACCAAATTAGAGCTTATTTCCACAATTTCGTACTTCAAGCTTTGACTTAAAGTTTCAAGTTTTCAAGAGTATGAACATTCTGATTCAGATTTATCCAACAATATATTCAACCATTTTCAATCATATTCATATATTCAATTAAGAGGGTACAAAAATTCGCACCCAGCTCAAAGTTAGTATGATTATTCAAAACACCATCATGAATGAAATCTGAAAAATCCCCATCGATCCGATATCTGGAAAAAAAATTACTCGTGATCAAAGGACACGAAAACTGTTTTTTCGCGATTATCAGCAAAACGGAGAGTTTCATCATATATGTTAGGAGCAACCGCCCTATTTTAATGTGTTAGTGATACCTAACATATAATTAGTTCGAACAAAAATTGCAGATCAGATATTTATCTATGAAAAATGTTGAAATACTTTTCTCCTAAGAGCTACCATGTTAAAGAAATAACGATTCAAAAAGTTGGAAGAGTTGTAATCGTCATAATATGCACAAGATTCCTCACCACCTTTGAGATAGTGTTAATGTTTGAAACTATATAACATTAGGTCAACATTAAGTCAAAAATGAAAATAATTGATAAATTATTAAAAATTAACATGCAGAAAGAAACTTCGATGTATTAACTATTCCCTAACTTAACAAAATAATTTTCCTAGCGAATTATTTCATTTCAATTGTAATGTGGTATTTTGTTTGGATTCAGCTATCACAACGATTTAAATTCGTGTCGTTAATCAGCTGTTATTGAATTAATTGGCCCCGAAATAAATGTATCTACGACTAACTGAAATATAACATCATAATACCGAAGGAACAGCCAGTAACAATTCCACTTGCAAGAATTGAAAAATATATTCGTTATGGAATAATTGATGTCTATAAAATTCATAGTTACCATTTTCAAGGCCTTTTTCACTATTAACGTTTTCAATCAATCCTAAGGCTTGACGAATGTTAAACTTTCACACAAAATGATGGGAAATAAGAAAATAATATTTTTTTTACAATACTCGTTAAGGGTGAATTTTTTTTTATTTGTTATTCACACGTTTTATTCAATAGGAAGGGTTAGATTTTCGGTGTGTAGACATATAAAAGAAAAACTGAATTGGAAAAAATATTTCTCAACGGGGCCGGGGATTCGGGGCCGCGGATTCGAATCCGGCTCTCCTGTTCTCTAGACCAGGGGTCTCCAAACTTTGAAGCCTTCGGGCCATAAATATTTTTTCAGTTTGTTCCAAGGGCCAATTTCTGCCCTTAACTATATTTCTAGACTAGGATAGTCGCAAAGTGCGTGACCTTAGCANCCCGTCAATTTTGCAATCGAAGATTTATTTTGATACTCGTGTTTCAGATTTTGATGCCATTGCGAATGAAATTGAGCTTTTTCAAAATACTTTTGATTCTGACATTGAAACCCTGGTTCCGGAAGTCCAAATGGAAATTATTGATTTACGGTGCAGTGATATGCTTAAGAATAAATCAAAATCAAATGAATCAAAATTCATCTTTGTTGGAATTTCATAAGTCTTCCACTGGAACAATTTG